CGGGTCCCCCCGTCCCCCCGCGGCGCGGCTCGGGTCCTCCCTTGCTAAATCCCCGCCCCCAGGAATCGGGCCCCGCTCTTGCTAAAGCCGGCCCTGACTGCTGCACATGTGCAGAATTCATGTCCCATGCAGATTTTTTTGCTTTCCTGCACAATAATTCAATTCTGTTGTAGAAGCAAAGGGAAGCCGCAAGAGAGGTCATATGTCCCTCCTGGGCAGTGTGAGTATGTCAGTTTGGGAGCAGCTGGGATAGATGTAAATTATCACTGTGTGTGTGTGCGTGTGTGTGTGTGTCAGAGCTGAGTGTGCTGCTTAGTGAATTGTTCATGTGTTACAAATGTGCTCCGTGAACTGTTTACTACTGACCTTTCTGGAGATGGTTAGCCAATATAAATTGTGAACTTGATTCCCCAGCCCTCGCTTGCTCTCAGTTGTGTGATGTAATACTGAGCATACGGCTGCATATATTTGTTGACTAATAACTAGAAGTAAAGGGTCAAACCTAGCTACATTACTATTTGACAAAGGGGGTTTGGGGATTTCCTCCTATACTCCCCACTCCCATTCTCCAGCCAGCTCAGAAGTCCACCTGAATCCCTGTCTGTGTTATTTCTTCCTCCAGAAGGGTGTTAGTCATCTGCTGCAAGGACCCTGAACTCTTAAACGTGGCCCAGAATCCTGTGATGCTGCAAAGTAGATTATAGGCAGCCCTCAATCCCAGCTGCTCTTCTGTCATTTTCACATTGCACTGTGGTTGCAATTCCAAGCTTTATTAATCATTTCAAGGCTTAGTATTTTTCTTCCTGTGCACCATCAAAGAACTGCAGAAATCATCCTGAGGCACTTTTGCTGATAGCTTAACTTTATTGACCTTTAGAGTGATACAAGACACCTCTTTTTGGTCAAAATAATCCGTATCTTATTTATGGTTGGTTAAGGAGTACAGGGAAGGGGGCTGTTACTCCAAAATATGCCAGCTGGTGGGTTCCAAGTGGGTCATCATCAGCTGGGGATTACAAGAGTGTAGTGTGCTCTGACTGTGCTTCTTTGCTCACCCCTCCTTGTTTCCTGTTTAGGGATTTACATAGAACAGTAGTCAGTACTCTTCCATTCCAAGGGACTCCTCGGCTAGGAAGATCTATGTAATTTTTGGCTTTTTCCCTGTGTCAGAGTGGCACAAATGGGTTAGATTACAGCTGTTTACTTACCCATTAAAAAAAAAAGACTTTGATGGCAAATACAACTTTTATCAAGCAGTAGGTAAAATGTCAGGACCAAGTATTTCCCAAAGTAGACCGCCAGGTTTGGATGAAGTTACCGAAGGGTAAAGGGATATTTGTTCTTTTGCACAGTGTGAATGACCCTCACATCGTGCATCATAAACAGCTATACCAACTTCTTGTGCTTGAGAATTCCCTACAAAACTGTATGCGGAGGGGCACAAATTATTTTGCATATCCTGCAGTGTTGTTCTCAGTTATGACTGATGGTCTGTAATTGTGGATATTTGCATAACAAAACCACAAACTGAAAGAAGATGCAACTCAAGAGGATGACAGAAACAAATGTCAGAAGACCATTACAAGCACACTGAAAAACAAAACACAGGCAAAGAATGAATGTGTGGGGGTAAATGGAAATATAAGAAAATGTTATCATACAGAAATATAATAAGCTTAGAAGAGCTATAGCAATGGGGTCTTACCTTGCTCTGAGATCTTGAATAGACAGTTCTGTTTTTAAGCTTTTTATTAAAGTGATGACTGTAGTCAATTTTCTGTTAATAATAATAATAATACACTCTAAATGAATTATTCAAAGTTCTGTATTAATATGTCTAATAAGGAATCTATTTGTCAAAAAACATTTCCTGAATCTTTTTTTTTGTCTGTTGTGTTACAGACGTACTTGCTGACAGGTATCTTGAGTTAAATTACCAATATAATTGAAACTGGAGTGTTTATATTGTGTTATTTTGACAAATAAAATATGCTGAATTTTGCAGAATTTTAAAATATTGTGCACATAATTTTTAGTGCAGAATTCCCCCAGGAACGAAACCCAGGAGTACAAGAAAACAGTGAGACAATATGGGTCAGTGTGCTTGTCAGTAGTCTCAGCACACCAGCTTACCTAAAGTCAGTGCCCCATTGTGCTGGACTCTGCATAATAAGTGACCGTTCTTCACTTCCTGTGAGTAGACCCATTGAAGCGATCAGGATTACTTATAGTGCTGAAAGCTAAGCCTGTGAAATTTGAATGCCTTACTAGACAAGGGAAGGTTCATTCTCCTGAGAGGGAAACTGAGCTATAGTGAGATTCAGTGATTTATTCCAAATCACACAGGGAGTTTGTGGCAAGGCTGGGAATTGAACCTAGATCTCTTCAGTGCTAGTCTAGTGCCTTAGCCACAAAGACACCCCTCCTATTATTAATTCCCCACCCCCCTTCATGCTTTTTCCATCTTTGTGTGTTGTCCATTTCCAGTCTCTGGTCTTTAGCCTGTCCTGTGAGTGTAAAGTGCTTAGCATATTTTTGGGTGCTATATATATAAATAGCTCATCATATTTTTAGTCATGTTTAAAATATATTACTTAACATGATTGTGGAAACTAGTGTACATGTAGATGGTTGTCTATAATGTTAGTTAACATGTCTTGGTAAAGAACTGTAGACAAATTCTTGGGCAATGCAGAGGAAAGGAGGAGGTCTCTAACGCTGAGCAGGAATGTAGGTCAGGGGAGTACATGGGAGTTTCTGGCAGTTAGAAGGCAGTTTTTTATGGGGAGATCAGAAAAGGTTTCAATTAGGGTTTCTACAAGTCACTCTTGTTCTTCCAGGAATTGTCACAGTCCCTGAAATTTACACACAATCTTCTGCCTCTCGGTTTCTGTTTGTTTCTGTATAAAATAGGGAAAAGGCTGGTCAGGGACATTGATGGAGCCTGGGGTCTTTTCATGGAGAACTGAGTGTGCTGGAGGGAGAATTTCTTTGAAAATCCTAAGACTTCTGTCATTTGACTACATCCTGTGGTTACTAGGGAGAGGATTCTCTCGCACCTTCCCCTTTGGCCCCAATATCTCTGAAAGGGATGTTT